AACCGGCTGGCACCTTGCTGTGAACATGATGAGATCTCCCATGGCTTGAAAACTGGTAGTGTGCTACAAAGCACAAGTGAGGTATTTAGACTCTTTTGTGTACTCAGATGTCCAGCCCTGCTGAAGGAAACTCCTGATCTCAAATCATTTGAGCCAGTGGTGAACTGAATCAAACTAAAGCAACAATAGTCTCAGCTCATCTACAGATGAGCCTCCCCACTCGAGTGGTCTGAGAGAAAAATGGGGCTTCTCTCTTCGGAATTTTACTGTTATTTACTTCAGTCTCTACTGTTCTTTTAGACACAATTCCTTGCATACAATAAAAAAATTATGACACATACAAAAAATTATGACCCATCATCAATAGAATGATGAGTAGCCTCAGAAATGGAATAGATAATTCGAATTATCAGACAAAGATTTTAAAATAATTATGATGAACGTGTTAAAGGAAATTAGAAAAAGTAGACCATATAAATAAAGAGAGAAGAAATTTATCAGAGCCATGGAAATCATTTTTAAAAAGAGCCAAATGAAAAAAGTAGAAATGAAAACCCTGATAATAAGAAATGAAGATTCATTTGATGGGTTATTGGGAGATTATGCAGAATAGAAAGAATCAGTGAACTTGAAGACAAGTCAACAGAAATAATCCAAATTGAAACATAAAGAGGCAAAAATAACAGAGCATCTGAGATATGTCAGACAATAGCAAATAGTGTAACATATGAATAATTGGTGTCACAGAAGAAGAGTAGAGAAAATGGGCTAGAAAGAATATTAGAAGAGATACTAGCCAAGAATTTGCTAAAGTTAGTGAAATACATCCAGCACAACCCACAATAAATATATCCACCTATGAACCTGAGTAGGATAAATACCAAGAATACCACATCTAGGCACATTATAATGAAACTGCTGAAAGCCAACAATTAAAAAAATTAACATATACAGAAAAGAAAATTTATTTTCACATATCATAAGAAGTCTGGCAATGGGATAGTTCCAGAATTGACTAGTTAAGCATCTTACCCATGACAAGAACCCAGATTCTTTCCATCTTTCCTCTGTGCCATATTTAGCAAATAGTCTGCTCTCCTTGTGATCAAAGATGCTTACAGGAGCACCAGGAAACACATCATTGCACGTATCCAAATACCAGAAGGGAGAGAGAGGACCTCTTTCTTATATCCCTTCTTAAGAGTAATAAAATCTTCCCAGAAACTTCCTGGAAGACTAGCTCTTCCTGTTAGAATTGTAGCACATGCTCATTCCTAAACTAATCACCAATAAAGAAGAAATGATTGACTGGCTTAGGCTAATTAGTATTCATCTTGAAGCCTTTCCTGAAGTATGTGGCCTTTCATAGCTTCACCAAACCAGGACTTCTTTTAGTGGAGAAGTAAAAGCAGAGTATGGTTGTTGGATAGAAAACCAGAAGTGTTGGCATTTATTAAAATGAAAATTTACAGACACAGTATGAAAAAATTTCATATTCAACCAAACAAGTGAACATAAATCTTAAATCTTAAAATTGTATTACCAATAATTTCACTATATCTTTGAGTACAGTCATGCATTGCTTAATGATAGGGTTATGTTCTGAGAAATGCACCATTAGGTGATTTTGTCATCGTGTGAACATCATAAAGTGTCTCAGAGATGAATAAAATTTGCCACCCCGAAATGTGTCTCTATAATATGAAGATTATTTTAGGCTGATTATTTTTAAAAAACAAAAGACTCAGAAAGTTTTTCTTATTACCTCTCCTTTGACTGCCTAAGAGAATTCAGATTAAAAAAAAAAAAAAAAACCTGTCTCAGGAAGTGAGCTATAACCTTAGCATAACACAAATTAGGTGGCAGACAGGAAGGAACCTAGAAAAGCCTGGTGGACTCCCTTTTGTGTTCTTCTGTTTCTGTCTGGCTAAACAAACACTTGTTTTACAAATGTTGGCTCCTTTTCACCTACCTGTGAATTGCCTTTCTTCCCTTTGAAGTCCCTGACTCGGCCTACCCCATCATTTTCAATTGTCTTTAGCGGAGGATGGTGTTGAAGGTGAGGGCTTCAGACATTTTGGCAAGTTACTCGGTTTTCCTGGGTTTCTTTCTTATATATATGTTATTAAACTTTTTTTTGTTTTTCTCCTATTAATCTGTCTCACATCAATTTAATTTTTAGACCAGCCCGAAGAACCCAGAAGGGTAGAGGAAAATCTCTTCCTCCTCTACAGGACTTACACAAACCCAGATGGTACAGCCTATTCCCCCCTCAGGCTATGTGGTACTAACCTTATGAGACCACTGTCATATATGCAGTCTATTGTTGACCAAAATATAGTTATGTGGTCCATGACTGTAGTTCATACCACTGTTTTATTGTTCTTATATTCTTACATTTCATTCTACAAGCTCTACTGGGTGGTGAGGTACTGAAAAGGCATTTTTTCTGTTCTCAGTTTGCTTTACAATAGGGGAAAATAGAACTAAAACCAATGAGTTCCATGGAAAGACATGATAGCAGAGCTTCAGATCTGACTTTGGCTCCTTCACTTACTAACTATAGTACCTTGAACAAGTTACCTAATCTCTCTAAGCCTTAGGGTCTGGGTCATTAAAAGGAGCTAATATATATCATCTTCATATAACGGTGGTAAATTTTAAATGGATAATCCATGAAGTGCTTAACAAAAATGTCAACAAACATTAGCTATCATCATTGTTATTTATTAATGTGTTTACAGAGTTTAGTAGGTGTGCATAAGAAACAATGATTGAGAAAGTCAACAAAGAAATGGTAAAGCTTGAATATATCTGGATACATGAGCTGTTCACTTATTGTAGAAAGGACTGGAATAGCAGTAAAAAGCATTTCTGAAAGAACGACCAGGATGAGAAAAGATACAGAGGCATGAAAAATGAAGGGGTAGGGATCCTGGAAAAGCAAACAAACCTGAGTGTAGGCTTTACAAGTGGAGTGTAGGGATGGGACATGAAAGAACTTCTGCGTGAAGCACGAAGCCTCACTCATGACATGTTTAAGGTGTCAGACTCTATTCTTTAGGTAATAGGGAATCATTAAAGAAGTTTTAAAAAAATATATAGTAATAACAGATGCCATTTCCACAGATCATTAAAGCAACAATGAGTTCAGATGGACACTGAGAAAGAGAGACCAGAGAGATACAGAGTCTGTGCCAAAAAGACACAAGGACGTAGAAGACTTGCAATAATCCACTTGAGAAATCATGAAGGTCCAAACCAAGGCCATTAGGAAAGGCTGGCAGAGAGAGAGCAGGTGTGGGACATGTTATGGAAAAGCTTAATTATTAGGAGAAAAGTCAATTTGAACACTATAAAGTTTGAAGTTTATGATTCAAAAATTGAAAGGCTATTGAATGACTTTCAAATACAGTCAGTAACACAAAGAATAGTAGTAAAATGTTGTAAAGTAGACATTCTGCAAAATGTTTGGATTATTAGAATGAACATTTGAAAAATTGTTATTTGTAGCCAGTAGCTACTATTAAGCTACTTAAAACCAGCCTGAATGTTTAAGCAAGATAAATAGTTCTTTCTAAGAGAACAGAACAATTTTGTTTACTTTATTAACTTAATTAAGAAGTCTTCTTCTTTTTTAAAACAAGTATTAGTTAAAGCTCAATCCATTCCTTACCGAACTGTTATAAATTATAAATTAGCAGATGATTGTGAAGTAATGAGATTTAAAAATATCTAGTCTTAATATATATTGCTTAAATTTAAATTTCTCTCTTATTTGTTTTTCTTTGGAGAGAGAATAAAACTGCTTTAACTTTATACTTAGGATGTGCTTTTAATGGAGAGCACACATAAGGGTCTTCTGGATTCTTCACTTAAATTATAAATGAATTAACATTTCCTCTTGGACAAAATCTCTTTCCCCATTAATCCTAGTGTTTTGACAAAACCATGAATCCCTCTTTCAAGTCTTTTCCAATCATTTTAGAGCAGTCTGTCAGGGTTATCCATTAATCCTCACTCTATACGAAGCAAAGTAGTCATAGGCTTTATTCCCATTTCATGGATAATTTATTTATTTAGGCAAAATTCTCTAATACATAATTCCATTCAAAAGCAATTTTCATACAAAACTTATTACATGTATTCTTGGCTGTCAGTTATAAAAATGGAAAACTTTTCTGCTTTCTATGCGCTTTTGCAACTCAGTTAAAACCACTTGAGGCTATAACTTGAAATTTAGTATATTGTTGGTGATTTAGTTACATTTCTCAAGTACTGAGCAATCCCATATTAGAATTTTTATAATATTGTAATACTCAATCTGCTTTATTAAAGAATTATATTTTAGTGGCCATTTTGACTTTAAGATTCTAAGGAGTATAAAAGGCAGTGTGGACCAGTTAGAAAGATGTTTAAATCAGTAGCCGGGCTCTAGTCTCAGCTCTGCCACTAGTTGCACTTCTCTGGACTGTTCTATGAGAGCTTTCTATAACCACTTGCACATCTCTCATGAGGATCATGGTCCCTGGATCTGCTTCATTCAAAGGATGCTGTGTGAATGAATACAATAATTTGTCTGAAGAATGAATGAAAGAAAAACACTTCTTATTTTATAACCATGATGCAGAGGACCTTCTGTAGATCCTCTACCAGTTTTTAATAATACTCTACTTTTTACAATACCTTACAGTTCTAATTCTTTAAATTAACTGGTTTCCGATCCTTGCAAAATGCTCTAGGTAGCAACAGAATTTCTTTCAGCTGCTGCAATTTCCTCTTTAGTTTGTGTTCACCTACAGCAAAGCTAATGCTATCCATTCAAGGTGAAGTAATTAAATGTGTCTGCTAGATACCTGGGTCTAAGACACAAATAAACTCCAAGCAACTTCCCTCAGCCAATTGCAGTTTTTCAGAATGCCTCCTCAACTCTCCACCAGAAAGGCCACACTACTACTCAAAAACATTTATAAAATAACACCATAATAAATGATTTGTAGGTGGGATTATCTGTGCTAATTTAAATGTCGTTATAACAGCCAAATCAAAATAAGAACAACCTACAAGATGAATATAGATATATAAATTTACATAGTTTACAGATAGTAAATTAACATTGGCGCTTTGGTAGAAGCTCTTAGATATTTCAAGATTCTGATCTTTACGTATTATCTGAAATTCCAATTAGGCCTGTACCCTTGGTACTATATACCCTTGGCTACTTACTGCCAAGGCTGCAACATTAGCCCAGTGTCTGTATGCTAGAACTCATATTAAAAGCTTGAAACTTCAGTTATTACCCAGGCTACAAACCCACGCACATCTTTATTTGAAGAACACTAACAGCTTATTAACTTACAGTCTGCTTTTCTTTCATCTGTGAATACTGCATCTTCCTTCATTCAGGCTGGACCCCAGGAGCCTGGCACGTTATTTATACAACAGTGTAGATTCTCATTTGGCCAATGCAAAGCTGCCCTTGGAATCCACATCTCTGGCCACAGTTGTGTTTATCCATGGTATCCAGTTCCAGTTATCTTTTTTGTGCCATTTTGGACTGGGATCTGTTTGTTTCATCTACTAAGTTTCCCAGTGTAGAATGGTGAACAGGACCATGAGGATGTGGCATAATGTGGCAAGACTCAGCCTCATTCCTAGCCCTATGGCACTTAATTACTGCACTTTACTTGCCAACTATTTCTTGGCATCTGATTTAATTTGGGGACTTGCCTAAGCATTTAATTGAACTTGGAGAATGCCTTTCAAATATTTATACCCACTTTCTCTTTCTCCTCCTGCCACATCATCAATGATTCTGCACTACATTTTAGATCAAATCCACTTTCAGTTTTTCCAAAATGCCTGCCTTTCCTCTTTTTCTATTAAGTATATTGTCTCACGCCCCAAATCCTAATAAAATTTAATTTTTTAAAAAAATATAGTTTACCCTTGTTTTCTTCTAAACTTCTTTCTGCCTCATTATAGCAGAAGAATTTGACGTTTTCTCCGTCCATAAAGTTTTATCTAACTTCATTTTATCCAACTTGTATCTCACCCCTCTGATAAGTTTCTTGTATAAAAATATGCAGCACAAAGGAGGGAAGAACAATGGATTCCTTGCACTTGTCACAGCCACGTAAGCTTCAGAATCTTTGTCTCCAGCCACAACACTACTCACTCAGTTCTCCCACTCCCTAGGTCACATTTAAATTGCTCTTGAATTTCATCAACATCTACAATTTCGTAACTAATCTTACTTCTTTCCTCAATGTGTCAGTGTTCTGTTGCTTTTATGTCCCTCTACAACAAACTTCGGCCTCAGAGGTCATCATTTTACCTTGCCTTTTGTTGGCACCTTAGAGTCCACATCAGTCTGTCCTTCTATAACTACCACCGTTTAAATTATAGCACTGGAACAATCCAATCATATCCCTTCCTCACTCTGATACGTATATAACAATACTGTACGGGAAAGTACAAATCAGGATATATAGATACGGTTTCCGACCCCCTTTGGATTGCAATGCTGTTCCTCTATATTTTTTTCCATTCTTTATCTTTTATCTTTTACCTCTCTCATTGCTCCCACTTACCTTTTCCAGTCATTGTTCAAACTCTGCAAACCACAAAAACAATACTTTCAATCATACTTTCAGGTGGAGATTTTCCCTACTGACATCAAAATCCTTATGTTAGCAATTGATAAATAACGGTTTTATTCACAACACTTGTAGTATTTTAAAAAGTGTGGTACCAGCACAAACATTAAAAAACCAAATGAATATAATGGACAATATAGAAATAAATTCAATATGTTGTAAGAAAATATTCAAATTAGTGGAAAAATAGGTTATTAAATAATGATATTGGAACAAACGGTTAGCCATTTGGAAAAAAAATAATAAGACAAACAAAAAACAAGCAAACAAAATGAAAAACCAAGATAACATAATGATATAATTTCATCATTATTTATAATAATGAAAAATTAAAAACAATCTATATTTCATCCATATGGGACCAATTAATTAAATTACAGTATATGCCTATTATAAAATACTATAGAAATATTCAAGGTAAAGTTGTAGTATATAATGACATGGAAAGATAGCCACAACATATTGTCAGTGAAACAAAAAGAGGGTACAGTACAGTATATAATATTAGATCAGTGTATGTATGTGTTTATGTAGATGTGTGGATTGAGATTGTATACAATATATGTGAGTTTCTTTTAACAGGAGGGCTGAAAGAACCTGGATTGTTGAGTTATCTCGCCCTCTACTTTTAACGTATTTTATGTGATAGGCGCTATTCTGGGCAATTGAAAATACTGTTTTCCTCATTTTATAGGCTGCAGCAGTCTTGGAGTGTGAGCAACTTGCTCTGAATATGTGGGTAGGGCAATGATGAAGCCAGAACCCAGGAATCTTACTCTCAGTGCAGTGTTTGACCAACCATGGCAAAGAAGGAAAATAATTGAAATTAATCTACTAGTGTAGATACTATAAGGAATCTTTTTTACTTTCTCTTTTTTTTTTTTTTCTTTTTCTTTCTCACTGTAAAGAAAAGCTGATAGTGAAGTACTATGACTGGTACCAAATGAAGTATGTTCCACTGATTTATCTGCAGCCTTGCCAAGGAGCTAAAACTACTAGTGAGCTTCCCAGGATGGCATCTGTTGTTTTAACGTAGGTGCACTAGATTGAATTGAGCGTAGCCTAAGACATATGTATGAACCAGGTAACATCTACCTTGGCTGTTTGAGAACAGCTATTGAAAAAGATCTTTTGTTCCCCAGCTTGTGATTCAATTCCACGAATCTCATCTCAGTCCCCTGTGCCCCAAAGATAAGCTTGATTCACGCAAGGATCTAGGTAGAGTGAGGAGAGATATAGGGAGTGCGGGATGGTTACTGCTCACTTCCAAAGTGGAGAGGAAAACAGGATCACTCACTTGTCCTTATCCAGATGACTCTTCTCATTTAGGAAAGAGGTGGCTTACAGAAAAGTTTTAGTTCACAGTCAGAATCCTCATTAAAAGAAGTAGGGAATTCATACAAAATCTAGAACTACTGAATTGAAGCCAAATACTACAGGTGTCACAATTATAAGAGTCAAAATAAATCTGAAATGGCAAAGGGAGAAGGAATTGAATATTTATTAAAAACTCACTGTGTTTAATGCAACCAGGTGATTTATATACATTATCTGACATTTTAATCCTTACAGCAGAGTTCACCTGACCAAAAACCTGTGCAGGTAAGAAGCCAGCTTGAAATATCTGAGAACAAAAAGTACAAAACACAAAACTACCTCATTATATTTCAACACTTTGCTTCTCAAGTGATGTATAGAAAATCTCTGGCAAAAATGAAGTATCTAGGTCAAGCTTCTCATCCCCATGACGTTTCATTCTAAGTAACGACACTGATTCTCCCATTTCTGATAAAAGTCTCTGTGTTTGCTACCCTTCTTCAACTAAAGTGGTGTACAGTTTCAAAGTAAAGTTGATAAATGGCACTTTTATATTACAATTTAGGTAAATAGTGAAAGTAAGAAAAAGGTAAATGCAGCAGTGCCATTGCACATCAATTTTTCAAGCATATAAGTTCTGCCATGTTCTTTTGTAGACCGTGTGATAGCTTACTTTTTAGAAGCTGATATTTGGAATAAAAGTACATGATAGGTGAAGTATAAAAAAATATATAGCCAGGAGTCGAAGTTGAAGTCACCATTGCAGATGCTTAGATAAACTATTTTAATAAATTGATTATCAGTTTTTTAAAAAAATACACAAGGATCCCCAAAGCCTAGTCTTTCTTCAGATTTGACAACTGATTTTAAGGTGCATATTAGAAAACAATTCTATTGGTTATAGACACTTGGATTAGTAGATTTAAATCTTTCAAATGAAACATCAAATGGGTGTTTAAAATATTTAATATTTTATTTAATTATTTAATTTAATTTTTAACTTTATTTAAAATACTTAATATTTTAAATATTAAAAATATGTTTTGAACATCTAGTATGGAATTTTCCTTAAAAGAAACAGAACATGATGGACATTCATAATAAAGATAAATTCCTAAAATTGCAATATATACACACACACACACACACACACATATACACACACATATATATACATATATATTTTTTTTGTTATTGATCTATCAGTTTAGCAGTTCCCTAAGTTCCTTATTTCTATCTTTTTTCTTTTATTTAGTGTGGGATCATCTATAGCCTGCACTAACTGTATATAATGAAATTTGAATACATTTCTTTCTGCACTGTTAACTTGGGTCATTTCTTTTAAGAAATTGAGGGACAACGTATGCTTGTCTAAGCATGTTATGCAAATTCCTGGCATAAAAGAATTTTTAACATGGAGGTAGTGTAAAACGTGTCATAGTGACAATTCTTACATTCAGTATTCATTTATCCCGACAATTACCCTGGTTATAACGCCTTTCTACATGTAGCCATTTTATATGCATGTTAAAAAGTGAGGCATGCGCATGTACCTGCAAGATATTGGAATTATATCCTGAACACTTTATCTGTGAGTTGGGGCTTGGATTCTGTAATTCTCCTCTGTTTATAAAATCGCCTAAATGACCTCCCCCAGCAAGGTGAGTTTGTCTATTCAGATTGTTTGAAGCAGAACTATGTTAACATGGAAAGAATCCTCTCTGCTCATTTTAGACTCAGTCACATGGTCAGAGGCTGGAATTTACACCAGACATTGCCAGAAAGCTTCTGGTAGCCACATTATTGCTTTCCGCAAAAGACAACTGCACATTGCGTATGTTCTAGCTGCCTCTGCAATGCTATGCTGCTCATGACACACAATCCCCATTTTTAAAATGTACTTTACTAAACAAGTTTTATGTTATAAAGCAGAAAAATATGAATACCATCTATGCAATCTGCTATTCTACGTTGTCAGATATGTCTTTTAAAAGAAAAACTCTATGACAATCAATCATGTGATGTAGTAAGGTC